TCCTTTAGTTTTTGAGAAAATCAAAAAAAACTAAGGGACTGCTAGGTTTATGAAAGCTAGCAGTCCCTTAGTTTTTCTTGATTTTCTCACTAACTAAAGGAGCACCTAATTTTCAATAAGAGGCCCTAATTAGCACCTAAAAAGCACCTAATTATTATATAGATCCCGAAGTTTTTTTGCCATTCTGACACACCAACAAGTAAACGTAAAGCCAGCAGTCCCCTAATAATTAAAAAAAAATCTGTAACTCAGTTAATGATTATTCAATTCTATTTTTTCTTCAACTATTAAGGAGCACCCGAGGGGGTAACATCTTCTTGAATTTTGTGACAGTATTGCGACAATCCCTACGATTTTCCTAAGATTGCTGCGATTGCAACTGCAATCCGGGATTGTGAGGCGATTGTTAGATTTTGGAGGATTGCATTGTGACTGCATATGATTGTGAATGATTGCAGACAATTGTGAATGATTGCAGACGATTGTATGCGATTGCGAGTGACTCAGAAAGATGTTTGGTAGCTGCTTGAGTTACTGAGTTACACTGACATATTATTATCTCAAGGAACATATTTATTTATTTTAGCCATTAGATTATAGATTTTTATTTATTAACCCACACATAAAAATACGAGTAAAAATATGAACAAATATATTTTGCTATTCTTTCAAGGATTTCAAAGTTGTACATGGGTATGTACAGGGTCTGTTCCTTTCTTGCTCATGAATAGTGTTTATAGTGTCGCTTCTACAACTTGAACAAAAAAAATAATAATAATAATAAAAAAAGTTAAATACAAAAGTTGTAGGGTTTTATCTCTATCATCTTTTGCACATGCACATGTCAAAACGGGTAAATGGCAGGTGTCAACAAACACTTGCATTTTTTCAAATGGAACACCCTGTATCTTTTTGAATAAAATGATATATTTCTTCTGATTCCAAATATACCATATACAAATGTTGATATTTGGTTCAGCAGTTTTTACGATATCTAAGTTTTAAAATGCAATTTCATTACCCTAAATCAGGTTGGTTCCCCATTCCTTAAATCAATGGTGAGGCTTACTTAATGCAATTTTGGTATGGTGTATTTGAACTCAGAAGGAAAAGATCAATCATGCTAGCCAAAAATATAATAGAGATAATACCCTACAACTTTTGTATTTAACTTTTTTTTTTATTTAAGTTGTAGAAGCCGCACTACTATACCTATAACAAAGTTGAATGGATATATATATTTTTTCAATATCTTGAGCCTATTCGCAAAATCCTCCTTGTCTTGCTTTCTGAGATGAAAAGGACCATATTTACAGGGTGTTCCACCGGGAACCGAATCGATCTATACCTATATGGAAAACTGTATGCAGAAAATTTTTGAAAATTCGACAGTATAGGTGCTAATGTCAGTAGGGGCAACCCGGCTAAAATATTTTAAAAATGGTGGCACTTCCGGTTATACCGAAAGAAGACGTCAACTTGCTTATTTCAAATGAGATACCCTATGTGATTGCATATTTGGATTCTACGTAAAATTCTGAGCAAATTCATGCAATATACCCTATACTTAAGTTCAACTGTTTTGGAAATATTGACAGTTGAAAATTGACTTTCTGTAACTTTGACTGGATGTAAAACCTAAAAGGTTGATTTTAGAGGAAAACCGATTTCACATTCTTATATTTCCATAAACTATCATTTGACATGAACTTTGAATTTAACCGGAGATTAAATTTAATTGTAATTTTTAATCATGGATTAAATTAAATGGTGTTTGGTGATAGTTTATAAAAATCTAAGACAGGAATGTGAAATCGGTTTTCCTCTAAAATTAACCGTTTAGGTTTTACAGGCTGTCAAAGTTGCAAAAAGTCAATTTTCAATTGTCAATAGAGAGTTATTGGAACTATTAAATACTGCCTGGCAGTATTAAGGATTTACATTATTTTATCAGTGCATCAGCACTATTTCTCCCAGAAAATAACAGTTATTGGAAGATTGTAGTATGTTTTGAGTACGAGGTTGAGTATTACCTTATTTTGTATTCACAATTTTAACAGCTCGACAAAAGCGAAACGTCATAATCGTCAAATTGTCAGAAATGTTGAAATAAGGGAAGTATACTGCCTCGCACTAATCATATACCTACAAATAAAGACAAGCAGTAACCTTATTAAGGAGATCTTTATTTTCAGAACCAAATGCGCATGCGCAGATGTCAAAATAAGGCTATTTTAAATACTGCTTGTTCTTATTGCACGTCCAATAACTCTCTATTATTTCCAAAACAGTTGAACTTGGGTATAGGGTATATGACATGAAATCTCCTCAGAATTTTACGTAGAATCCAAATATGCAATCACATACAGGGTGTCTCATTTAAAATAAGCAAGTTGTCTACTTGCGGTATAACCGGAAGTGCCACCATTTTGAAAATATTTTAGTGGGGTTGCCCCTACTGAAATTAGCACCTATACTGACAAATTTTCAAAAATTTTCTGCATACAGTTTTTCATATATGGATCGATTTGGTTTTTGGTGGGACACCCTGTATATTTTTTGCTACTATTTGTATCTTTATCTTGTCAAATGTAATCATCAAGACCTCTCCTGAGGAACTTCATTTTATACTTCACTTCAACATCTAACGTCTCTATGATCCGGTCAATATACCATGTATCATATGCAGCAGCATAGTATTCTTCATTTTTCAAAGACATTTCTTCACAAAATGTTTTTTCTTCTGCTCTCATTTCCCAATTCACTTTTTTCGGAATACAGCTTCGACCTTCAGAGGTTGCGGCATCTTCTATGCTTGGAGCCCTTGTTGACTGCAGTTTATTATTTTTGCTCTTTTAATAGGCTCTATTCTCGGCTCTATTCCTACTTGACGCTGTTCTATTACTTTATTTATTTTTTTTTGACAATTTTGCATCTGAGATTTCCATCTGTTCATAACTCGGTTGATAACTTTCCGTTTTTACTTGCGTTTTTATTGGAAAATAGAGAACACAGTGTTGATTTTTTCACCAACAAATATTTTTAGAAGGCTTTAGGGTCTAATGGTATGTGTTAATGTAATGCAGGGCTGGCCGCCAACACTGGAGCGAATAGAGTTTATTTTTCTTGACAGTAGGATACCGCAGTGAAAACTCACAGAAAACAACAGTTTAATCGCTAATAAATAACATAAAATAGCAAGAAATTTGCCTGTCAGTCTATCTTTGCCGACTGCGCTGACTCTTACTATAAACAAATAAACGCGCATGCGCGGTTCGCGATTGTACCTTAAAACAAGTGATGGTGTACGCGATTGCCAATGCGATTGTCAGATTGCGACAGCGATTGTGGGGCAGCGAATGCGATTGTAGGATTGTTTTACAGAGATTGTGAGATTGCAAACCCGATTGTGGGACTGCGACTGAGATTGTCACGGATATTTAAGTGATTGCAAGCGATTGTTGAGAATTTGTGACAGTATTGCGGCAAGATGTTACCCCCTCGGGAGCACCTATAAAGCACCTTATTCTGATAAAAAAGAAATTTTTGGAAAAATATTTTCCACTATAGGGGACTACTAGCTTTCATACATAACCCCTTAGTTTTTTTTGATTTTCTGAAAAACTAGAGGAGCACCTAATTTTTAATTAGAGGCCCTAATTAGCACCTAAAAAGCACCTAATTATTATATAGAACCCGAAGTTTTTTTGCCATTCTGACACACCAACAAGTATACGTAAAGCCAGCAGTCCCCTAATAATTAAAAAAAATCTGTAACTCAGTTAATAATTAATCAATTCTATTTTTTCTTGGACTATTTAGGAGCACCTAAAAAGCACCTAATTCTGATGCAAAAAAAAATAATTTTTTTACTATAGGGGACTGCTAGCTTTTATAAACCTGATTTTCTCAAAAATTAAAGGAGCACCTAATTTTTAATTAGAGGCCCTAATTAGCACCTAAAAACCACCTAATTATTATATAGTTCCCGAAGTTTTTTCCACCTTGGGACTGCTAGGTTTATAGACCTAGCTTTTATTGCTATAAAAGATCTGTCTCCACAGAAATCACAAACCAGTCAGAGTGTTTTTGATTGGTCCAAATTGTCAACAACCAGTTTCCTGACTGTTTTCAAGCAATGAAATTCACCTTGACTGGTTTGTGATTTTTGTGGAAACAGACCTAAAGTGTTTGAGTTCTCAGTTTGATATAAATAGAGAGGAAAATTCAAAATGTTTTTTTCTATTTCTGTTGAATTTTCCTTATTTTTTTATGAAAAGAAATTTAGGAGAAACAGGATTCAAGAGCCTGGAATAGTCAATTACTGCAATTGATACCATATAAAGAAAAGATAATTAAAGAGGAAAGAATTCAAGAAAAATTGGAATTTTTTTCTTCTAAGTATAGGTCGAGGTATAGGTATTTCAGGTTCTTGGATATTCCTTATTCTTTTATAAAAGGAGATTCAAGAGAAACAGGATTCAAGAGCCTGGAATAATCAAAAATTGACACCTATATACAGAAAAGAGATGCAGTAGAGAGCTTGGAATAGTGGACTATTGACAATAGAGAGCAAAATAAGTTGAAAATTTTTATTTTCTGAAAGAAAAAATATTGCATTTTTGGCCATGCAGGAGGTATTTACAATAACTCTACATGCAAAGTATAGCCTATTATATATGTGTACAGTAATAATGTAATGCAAAAGTGTATTCCAACCAAAATAATCTCGGTAGTGATATTTTTAGATACACAATAATAAGATTTGTTTTGACAGCTGCGGCCCTGCAATCGTTTTTCGTGGTTCTTATCACACAAGAAACCTGATAAAATGCTTTAGCAAAACCCCTATTCAACACGAAAGGGTTCAGTAAACCCTTTCGGGAAATTGAGAGCCAAAAAGGCCTAAATCCACAGCCATTTTGTAACACATATGGTCGAAATCGCTTAGACTGTACCCCTAGCCAAAGCCAAACGACGCGATTGGGTCACATTCATACCTTCCGTAAAATCCTTCGGCGATTTTGTTCTTTTTCATGGGTCTTCTCATCTTGGCCAGATCCACATTTCGTCTCTTCATAGTTTCATGCGGGACCGTTTAACTAAACAACCGACTCTTGCCTTGGCCCCCCCGCGTTAGTTTTCCTCCGATTTCCCCGGGAAATTCGCGGTATTTTCGATTTTTAAAAAAAAAATATATATATAATCACTTTTTTATTTGCGGCAAAAACGAAACGTCCGTCTTTTTCCCCTATATTTTCGTGTGTGTGTTGACAATCTTCACACTGCAGTTTGGTTTTAGTATCGACTGTCATTTGTAGATGGCGCTAGGTCAGGTTTATCGATATTAGTTGGTATCAATACGATATTCATTTTAAAATCTCTATTTCTTTTTTTAAATATCGATATTTATATGAGAAAATATTGATATTATTCTTTATTTCTCAATTTTTATTTATTCCCGGCTTTTGAATTTCACGAAAAAATAGAAAATTAGAAAATTCAAAAGCCGTATCGATATGCTCCATCATGGGCAATCATTGCACAAAACGATCGATAAGCCTAGTCTAATGTCAAGACTGTCAACCAAGTGTCAGTTCAGTGTTATTTTTCCTTTTTCATTATTTTCTAATGACTTGCTCTTTGTATTGTTATAATATTGTATTAGTGCATTTTCATCTGTAAAACCACCCAAAAACAGTTCGTTAAGTAAGTACCCTTTTATACTATTATAGTATTCAATAAACAAGCCCTTTAAAGTTTAAACTAGAATTATTTTTAAGGTTAGATTTCATAGAAGTAGCCCTAAACTCTAGTAAAATGGAATCCCTAGCCACAGACTCTGGCAAAATCGTCAAAATGGAAGTGGACTATAGTTCCACTTGCGACGACAAAATCCCCGAGTGCCAGAAACTGGCCAAATCTGGCAAACTGCATGATGCTCTCGAACAACTTTTGGCTCTCGAGAAACAGACTCGTACCGGTGCCGATATGATTTCTACTGGCAGAGTTTTAGGTAAAAAACACCTTTCTTTATGTTATAAACGAGTTATTTATGTTGAAAATTCCAGTGGCAATTTGTCAAATTTGTAAAGAAGCCAAAAACTGGACTGCCCTGAATGAGCATATCATAATGCTGACCAAAAGGAGGTCGCAACTGAAACAAGCTGTCACCAAAATGGTACAGGAGTGTTGCACTTATGTGGACGGTACTCCTGATAAAGAAACCATGATTAAATTGATTGATACACTAAGGTTTGAAAAACTTCTTATTTTATAGGGAGTGACTACTGTTTTTTGGCCTTAAATTTTGTATTTATTCCTATTGAGTATTATTATTTTTCCATTAAGTGGTTTATGGGAAATAAAACGCTAGATTAATTTCAATATGTCTGTATTCGATACCAGTTTCTCTAAGACTAAATTTTCACATAATTTTTACAGGCAAAATTATACATTTCATAGGGTGACTCACCACTTCTCTTGTTTACAAAAACCCTTCCAGGTACCAGCCAGAAGTCATAAAAGCAGACCCTTTTAATGGCATTTGCTTTTTCTCAGGCTTTTAAAACAAATTTAATATTGCCACATATTGCCTTTTGGAACCTGGTTGACTTATTTTTGTATAATCATAATTCTAACACGCCCACTCAAAAAAAAGACTCAACCAGTATATAAATATGCATTCCTTATATCCTAAATATATCTTATTTATTATTTCTAAGAAAATAAACTGGTAGGTATATAAAAAAAAATTCAAACACAGACAAAACAAAAATACAAAACTATTATAGTTATCAAAAAAAAAAAAATAAACATCTACAGTAAGCCAATCTTAGATCTTATCATGTGAAACTTTACTGCTGTGGTAGTGGCTTCGTAAACGCATCAGCTAATTGTTCACCTGTTGAAATATATTTCAATACTATTGTTTTCTGTAAGATTTGTTCACATGTAAAATGATATTTTATGTCAATATGTTTGGTTCTTTTATGATTTATAGGGTTCTTTGCTATATTTATGCAACCATTATTATCTTCGTAAATAATTATGGGGGCTTGTATTTTGAAATTAATGCTCTCTAATAAATTTCTTAGCCATATCGCTTCCCTAACACACTCAAAAAGAGCCATATATTCTGCTTCAGTAGAAGAAGCAGCTACTGAGGATTGTTGTTTTGAGTTCCAGGATATTGTACAATTTTCAAAGACTTTAAATAAAAAGCCTGTAGTACTTTTCCTGTTTAGCTCATTATTTCCCCAATCTGAATCAACATAGCTCTCAACCATATTGACATAATTATCATTGCGTTTATATGTTAATTTAAGATCTACAGATCCTTTCACATATCTTAATACTCTTTTCAAGCAAACCCAAAGCTCATTATTACTTTTACTTTGAAATCTGCTTAGAATACTTATTGCAATACAAAGATCTGGTCTTGTACAAAGCATGGCGTACATAAGACACCCAATCAAATTTCTGCATGGAACATTCAAATTCTGATCCCTATTCAGTTCCTCATAATTTAATTTATTTTCTAATGGTGTGCTTACAGATTTGCATTCGGACATGTGAAATTTATTTAGAACTGTTTTTAAATAATAAGTTTGATCTAAAATTATAGTGTTTTCTGTTCTTGTGATTCGGATTCCCAAAAAAAGTTTAACATCTTTTAAGTCCTTCATTTGAAATTCGCTCATCAGATAATTTTTAAAATCTGACATTGTATTTCTTTTCGCTGTAAAAATTAGAATGTCATCAACATATAAAATCACATAAATATTCCTACTTATGTCTCCTTTATCCAATAAATATAAACATGGATCAACTGATGAGCTTTGAAAATTATATTTTTTAATAGTTTGATCAAAATGTTCATACCAGCATCTAGAAGATTGTTTTAGGCCATAAATTGATTTATTCAATTTGCAAACTTCATCAACGTCTGCTTTTTGGACCTTCGGGAATTTTCATGTAAATTTCCTCATCTAAAGTACCGTGTAAAAACGCTGTTTTCACGTCCATATGATGAACAAGTAAATTATGCTGATTTCAAAAAGCCAACATCACTCTAAATGTTGTGATGCGGGCGACTGGTGCAAATGTTTCATTAAAATCAATTAAATATTTCTGACTAAATCCTTTTGCTACCAATCTTGCTTTATATTTTGTGGGATTTCCTTGTTCATCAATTTTGACAGAAAACACCCATTTACAATCTACTATATTTTTGCTGCCTATGGGTTTATTTACAAGCGTCCACGTGTTATTTAAATTGAGCGAATCAATTTCATCCTTTATGGCTGCATCCCACTGACAACGATCATCCCTTGTTTTAATTTCTTGGTAAAATTTTGGAATTGATTTTACAAGGGTATGTGCACATAATATATGACTGTTATAAACGTCATTATTTATTTCTTGATCGTTATCATCAGTGTACAGAGGCTTTCGATGATTTTTGATTCTCTTGCTTCTTCTAAGGTTAGAGCCTTCTGATTCATTTGATGTTTGTTGTTCTAATTGGATATTTTTATGTTCAGAATCTACTAATTTTTCCGAGTTCAAGTCGGTTTTATTAGTTTTGGGCAGGGATATTGAATCGGCGTCACTTTTAATGGGCCTAGTGACTTTGTAATTTACCTCATTGATTATTACGTCTCGAGGTATTGTAAAATTTTCCTTTTCAACATCCCAAATTTTATACCCGTTAGGTACGTACCCCATTAAAATCCCTTTCATTGATTTTTCCTCGAATTTGGTTTTACGAGTTTTAATATGGACATAAACGGTTGAACCGAAAATTTTTAGATTGTCCAATCTGGGCTTTTTATGATGCCACAGTTCATATGGTGTTTTATTTACCTGCAGAGCGGAGGTTGGTAAAATATTTATTAGGTAGGTAGCTGTTAAGACAGCTTCACCCCAAAAAGATTTATCCAACCCCGATGTATAGATCATCGTTCTCGCCTTTTCAGTAATAGTACGATTAATCCGCTCTGCTACACCATTTTGTTGAGGGGTATGAGGTACAGTTAGATGATAAGAAATGCCTTTCTGACCACAATACCCTTTCATTTCATTGGATAAATATTCTCCTCCATTGTCACAATAAATATTCACTACTTTATAATTACTGTGTGTTTCGGCTTTTGCAACAAAATCTTTAAAGACTTTTATGACTTCCGATTTCAATTCAATTAAATATACTACAGTATAGTGCGTGAAATCGTCAATAAATGTTACAAAATAATTTTTATTATCAACAGTAGGAGGAGTAATTGGTCCACAAACATCAGAATGAACAATAAACAAAGGTCTTTTAATATGTGATTTCGATTTGGACTTTGCAAACGGTAGTCTAGTTTGTTTCCCATTTATGCATGCTTCACATAATATATTATTTACAGGGACAATATTATTTATATGACTGACATCTTCTACCATATTAAAATGCTTTAATTTTGAAAATGATTGAGCACTTGGGTGCCCTAAACGTTCATGCCATTTTTGGTAGTTATTATTGTCAATCATATTAATTTTATTCCCATGATTTTTAGGTATTTTAAATTTTATACCTATTAAACCATTAATGGGCTCACCTGTAGCTATTGTTTCACAATTGCGTTTAATCTTCACTCCATTTTCGTCGAAAATTACCACCATTCCTTTGTTCTGGAGGCGCGTCACAGAAATCAAGTTGTAGGGCACTTCAGGTATAAATAATACATTTTCCAGAATCCCCCTGACTCCAAGATTTGTTATCACTTCCATCGATCCTGCTTTTGTGGCTACAACTGTTGTTTCATTTTTAGCTACTGCTATTTGAATTGGTCTTGGTAGTTCATATTTTGTTGAAAGGAATTTTTCTTGGTTGACAATATGATCTGTTGCCCCAGAGTCAAGCAGAAACAATGTGTCTTCAGTCTGCTTCAATGTTGTTGTTGCAAGATCATTTCTGAGCATAAAAGCAAAACCATTTCCTTCTGATTGCGTGCGTGAAACAGTTTGAATGTTGCGTTGTTTTTCCAGCATTTGTTTGTAGAAGTAGCAATCTTTTATTAAATGGTTTGTTCTACCACAATGATCGCATTTGATGTTTGACATTTTAGAGGCAATTTTTGAATCCTTTTTGAAATTACCTTTCTGTTTATTGTGAGGGAATTTCTTCTTTTTGTACTGTTTTTGATTTTGATGTACAGGGAAACTATGCTTGTTTGAGGTGCCTCTGAATATGTTGAGAACTTTGAGACTTGTCGTGGTGTTGTCGTTTTTGAGTTTCACTTCGTGATCTAGTAATCGCGTTTTGACGAATGACAAATTCAAATTGTCCTCTCCTAAAGTCTCCAATGCAGTGATTACACCCTCGTAAGCAAACGGCATTGTTAGAAGAAGATGAGAAATTTTGTCCATCTCGTCTAATTTAGCTCCCGCTGCTAGTAATTCTGTGATAATGTCATCAAAAATTGTAAAGTGTTGTAGCAAATGCTGGTCTCCTTGGAACTTGAGGCTGAGAAGTTTTTTACGTAATGCCAATTGTGTGGCTAAACTTCTCCTTTCATAAATTGCATCCATGTCAGCAAATACATCCCCAGCAGTCGGTTTATCTTTGACGAAGTTCAAGAATGAGCCACTGAGGTATTCTGTGATTATGCCTTTCGCATACACATCGTGCCTTTTCCATCTATCATTGGGATCAGCAGGAGGCGTCTCATCAACTACATAAAGTACTTGTGCTTCCGCTAGTAGTAACCTTACACGAAATTTCCAAATACTGTATTTTTCCCTGGTAAACGGTTGAACATTCCTCGGTTTTGTTTTCTCCATAATAGAGATTTAGCGACACTTAGAGAAAACACACGTTCGTGGCACTAATGTGAGTGCCCACAGCACAGGATAAATAATTAACACAAAATTAAACGAACGTATTTAGTCCACTATTTGCTATTCGCGAATTCTGGGCCCATAACCTATTGAGTATTATTATTTTTCCGTTAAGTGGTTTATGGGAAATAAAACGCTAGATTAATTTCAATATGTCTGTATTCGATACCAGTTTCTCTAAGACTAAATTTTCACATAATTTATACAGGCAAAATTATACATTTCATAGGGTGACTCACCACTTCTCTTGTTTACAAAAACCCTTCCAGGTACCAGCCAGAAGTCATAAAAGCAGACCCTTTTTCTTTAAATAAGTTTCGACTGATAATACATTTTATTATGTAGATAATGGCATTTGCTTTTTCTCA